GTATTCGACGTGTACGGCGTTTTAATGTGACTTCATTAATACTTTGATGATTGCGCTTTTTAATAGCTGCAATTCTGTATTTTCGATATTTCTGTACTATGTCTTCTGCGGTATGAATGTAATGCATAAAGTAACATGATGTCAAAGTTTTGTACTTTGTCAAACATAAATGAGAGGCAAATTTCATAATTAGGTATTGAAAGGGTAGAAATTATTTTCTTTCTTGTGATTACTGTTTCATGCATCTTCTCAAAATATTGCAAGTTTAAAATATATTGTCTCCTTTTTAAAAAATTTTGCAATAGAAAATATTTATTTCTTTTTAAATATTTAAGAAAATATTTAGTTCTCTTCCTGTTTTATTTTCTGTAGGAGTTCGAGAATATATCTTTTTTCAAATTGAAAACGAAAATGTATAATAATAGAGGGTTAACGAGAGATTTAAATTGTATCATAGAAAATGACATTAATCGTACACTACAAAATTAATGATTTTTATTATACCAGACAATTTATACCAGTTAGAGTAAATAAATATAAAGAATAATGCGTTGAACAAACTGATTAAATATAAAAAGTACAAATTTATAACAGTGGATGTCCACATCCACATGTATGTCCAAAAGATCAGAAAACACTACATAATTTAGTATAAATTAATAAAACAATAAATAGATATCCATCATTTCACAATTGCTCTTCAATTTTTTTGTAATTTCGGCAACATGTAATTATTTATCAAATATGCTTAAAGAATAGAAAAAATCGATCTATCAAACATGCTTAAAGAATGAAAATATCGAGTTACCAAACGTGCTTAAAGAATCGAAGAATCGATTTACCAAACGTGCTTAAAAAATCGAAAAACCAACACGATGTGTCCGTTTCCTAACACACAGGAAAACATGATTTGGGTCTTTTCACGAATGTATTGTACTATTTGACATATGGTAAACGTTATGCCAACATTTCTTAATCGCAGTGCTATTACCCATATGGCAACAAAACTGAAGTCTTCGAACGTCTTCAAAAACCGTAGCCACACATAGGGTGTTCGAAGACAAATAATACAATTCAGAAAGCTAGCGATTCGTCATGAAAGATTTATAAGATTGATTTCCATTACTATCATTCAATCTTGAACTTTGTAGAGAATTTGAAAGTAAACCTTTATTTTAAGTTTGCAACTTTTCTTTAAATTTTATTCAGGCAATGTTATAACATTATTAATGTAGGATAAAAATAATTTAATAATAATAGATTCTTAGGGAGAATAATTATTATTATATAACTGTAGTTATTTGGTAAATAAATACATTTTGTGTTTTCATCTTTCTTCTAAGTTCTAGAAGAATAATGTCTTCTTCTTGTAAATTATTTAATCAACATACATAAATTTTTATAACATTGTTTTATTATATTGTAAATGGCTGAAAAATCGTTTCTAAACATTAGAAACAACAGTTATACCTTTCTATTATTAAATATTAAATTGTTGTGTAGCAAATGGGAGATTTCAAACCATAAAATGTCTGACATGATCACATAACCTAAAAATGTAGTAAGATTATTCTGTTATTATTCATTTATTATTACTTTACTTAATAATTTAAAATTTAAGATTTTATGAAAGTGATTGTATAAATTATCAGCATAAAAATATATTATATACAATTTCACTGTAACAAACATACTAATCTGTGTACTTAACATAGTTTAGATGAATAATTTAGAATTAACAGTAAACAAATACACCTTTCAAATTTTCATTTGATCATTGGTTAAAGTAAAATCAGATAATGATTTACACGACATGAATATACAAAACTGCATATTCATATTAGTTATGTTTACATTTATATTAGTTAATAATAGTTTATTAAACTATTGTTTATCAATTTTTCTGTGCATCTACTAATATTTTGACCATAAATTTCATTTCGAAAGTGACTGTATCCGGACTTAAACGAACGGTAGTTTTTGAACTGTTTTCGCGTTCATTTTTCAACGAAGCCGCTTACTTCGCCGCCCATATGTTAAGGAAAGTCTCTGTCGCCGTATGGTCGTCTCGAGTGCCGATATATGCACATGCATCAAATATTATATCTGACTGGCTGCGTGGCACGTGGGTTACGCACGTTTCTAAGGAAATCATGATTTCTATTTGTGGCTCAACGACTGCACGCTCTGCCGATACTTTTTTTCGATTTCTGCGCTGCGACTCCGTCAGCGTCTGTCTCGCTAAGTACAACCAATTTAAACCACTACCAAAGAAGAATTAGAACTCCGTCACAATTTATGTACTCTACAATTATTCAACATTTCTCAACTTTAACTTGTTCACTTCAATTATTAACACGTGGCAAGAAACTGTTGTAATTTCAAAAATTACATTCTTTATTTCATTTTTTGTCTATGAGAATTATAAGGTTATTTTAGGTACTGTTACTTTTTGTTGCTGTTATTATAAACCTACTGTTATTATCAGATAATTCTAATACTATTATACATATCTTTACGATATTACACATATCGTACACATATAATGATAAACTGTTATCAAATAATGTACATATATGTACACATGTCTATGCATATGTTACAACAATATTAATTTTGACAACAAAAATAATTTGTCACATTCTGATTTGTGTAATTAATAAAAATCGAAGGAAGCATTTAAAAATTCTTGTTAAAAATTGAAGAGCTACAACTGTTTAAAAAATGATATTCTATGAGAAATACTAGCAACGATAATGAAATCTGAGAAAGTAGAGCGCAGTGTATCCGAAAAAGAGGAGCATGTGCGTGATCTTACCAAAAGGAAACGGATCAATGCCGAGCAATTGGAAGCCACGAAGATTGGGAAAGGTCTGGACGAGAGATATTTCGAAGAGGATACCTAACATATGGCAAAACCGTGAACCACTTCCGTTCGTGGGTGCTTTTGATGCTGCCTCCGGTGGCAGCGTTTCAAAATGCCATCAAGGTAGCGTGAACTTGAAATTTCTGACACGTGTTCGTTTCAAGAAAACAGCTTTTTCCTCGGCGTATCGACACTTTTGTGTAATCTTATCGGGAGATAAATACCAGTCTGCACAGGACACACGTCGAAGGAACCTACGTTTTAACCCTAGTATACAGAGTTAATCATACACGACACTCACGAGAATACATTATAGCAATTAATAATAGTTTAGTTCAATTATAAGTCAGAGATTTTCAGGTTCTGGAAAGATTTTAAAAAGTCAAAAATTTATGGTGTATGCACTGTGGTAATTTATGCTATTTTCCACTTCGAAATCCGCCATTTAGTACAACAGTGTTTTATACTATTTAAGTACAAATGAAAATTAAAAATTAAACGAAATAATGAAATTATTTTTCAAGACCACAAAATAGAAGGTCATAAATTTTCTACATTTTGTTGATTTGAACGAAAAGTAAATATTCTTAGCTTAATTTTGGTATGTAAAATTTAATGTAACAGTAGTTGTAACAGTTGTCTCTTTCGCAATGTAACTTACATATTTAAATGTATGTGGATGTTTAAAGCATGTAATAATTATTTAGCTACCATGGTGTTCATAGACTGATCAAAGAATCAAAGTATGATCATGGTCATATATGAATATTATCGGTATGATCAAATTGTGCAGTTTACCGTATAGAGTTATCCAGTAAATTGTACTTTCTAAGCCCATAATATGTACAAGTCTGCAAAACGAAGTTATTTTTGATTACTTGTATTTCTATTGATCCAAGATGCTTTTCCCTCAACCCGCAAACGTAGGATGCGTCCAAGTGTCACGTCGACACGCACTTTCGCAAAGTGGTTACAACGCCTAAAGTTTATTTTTGAGAGCACGTGTTCAAGAGGAAACAGTGAACACGGGTTTCCACTTGGCGACGCTTCCTTAGAGTAGCTGTCACGTGTGTCTATCGGCAGCCTAAGCTACTTAAAAAGTCCTTCGATAAGAAATTCTTCACGGGGACCGTGCGAACTTTACGAACATTGTCACGCGAGATCTATTGTTCAACTCGATCACAATGTAGGTTCAACTTTTTAAGTATTTGACAAAAATACTTCGATGTAAATGACAATAAATTAATATCAATGATGAACTTGTTGTAACTTGATGAACTCTGATGAATTATTGATAAACTCCGAATGTAACTTGAACAATAAACTTCAAAATCTTAAATGTTTTGAAATTTGAAGGATATAGTGATAAATTATTTTATTGTTGTTTAAATTTGATATAATGAATTGTACATTAATATTGAAAGTAACATTTTTGGACGTAGATATTCAATTCATTGAAAATTTTAAGGGAGCACTGCATCGTAGTGTGCACTATTTGAAAGTAGCTACCCTTTCAACAGCAGTGGCACAACTGTCATTTGTTTTAAATTTTGAACATAGCTACGAACGGGATAAAACAATTATTTCTTACAATTTCATAATATCAATTGTGTCGTATAAAACACAGGAAGTCACGGAAGGATATTCCCACAGCATAAAATATTTACGTTTCGTTACACGTGTGTGAGACTTAACAAAAACTGATAGTTGTCGATGTGAATAGCAATAAATGTGATGAACATGTTACAACACTCAAACGTAATAATAACGTTTAAAAGTATAATGATAAATTTTGCTGAGTCTTCAATTTGGAATACAGTTACCAAATTATTATTAAACCAATTATTCCTTGCAATTTCACATAATAAACAGGATCAAACAGAAGAATACTGCTGAAGCATAAAATATCTACCTAATACGGATCCATAAATCTTTGAACCAAAGGTGTGAGAATCGTCAGATACAATTAACACATTGAAGTACATTTTACAATAAAACGTTACGATATTTTGCTAACTTTTAAATTTAGAATATAACGAATCGTATAAACTGCTTATTTTTTGCAAAGTACCAACCGTTTCACATAAAAAAGAGGAAGCCACAAAAGGATAGCAGTAGAGCATAAGACACCAACCTTTTGTTACACGTGCGTAAGTCGTTGGGTGTGTTGCTGATGAACCAGCCTGCCCTGCTCTTGTTCCCACCAGCTGACGACGTCCATGAATTCACCGGATTCAGTGATCTCCTGCTTATAATATAGAGCCCCAGAAAAGGTTTCCGGGCTCGCCGCATAAACAGTGGCTGCACCCTCTTCACTGTCCCCGGCGCCACTATATGGCGAGAGGATCTGAGGTTCCAGGTTCTCCTCGTTTTGCCCGTAATACTCCGACGGTGGTGATGCCACCGAGTTCGGGGACAGTCGTGAAAAATTCTGCGGGTTCGATACGGTTCTCGGTTCGAGATTCTCTTCGTCGCCCACCGAGGACGCGTAATAATCGTGTGGCGATGCGACGGTAGTTCGATTCGGCGACAATCTGCAATATCGTTGAAACATTCAAGCTCTTCGTTTCTCCCTCCTTTGATCATTTCGTTACTCAACGAAAAGGAAAGATGAAAGAAAAAATTACCTAGACGTAGTTTTCTGCTTCCCATTATCATCGTCCTCCTCCAGTTGTTCGCCGTCCTCCTCTTCAGCGCCGAGAACGTCGTCCTCGAGGATAAGTCGCTCCCCGGATCCGTTGTGACTCGACGAAACGACACTGCTGGTAGGTGAGGGCATACATTGCCCGGCACCGGCGTTGGCGTCGTATTCGATCCCGTCAGCTTCGGCCAGCAGCCTCTGAAGACCTCTGATGTACTCCACAGCCATTCGCAGGGTTTCCACTTTCGACAGTTTCTTGCCTCTGTCACCGTAGCCAGCTGCGATGTGGCTCGGGATGTGTTGTCTCAAAGTCGCGAACCCATTGTTCACCTGCTTGACGCGATTACGCTCGCGGGCATTCCTTCGGGCAACGGCGACTGGCGGCGGCTGACCCTGCTGAAGCATAAAATATCTACCTAATACGGATCCATAAATCTTTGAACCAAAGGTGTGAGAATCGTCAGATACAATTAACACATTGAAGTACATTTTACAATAAAACGTTACGATATTTTGCTAACTTTTAAATTTAGAATATAACGAATCGTATAAACTGCTTATTTTTTGCAAAGTACCAACCGTTTCACATAAAAAAGAGGAAGCCACAAAAGGATAGCAGTAGAGCATAAGACACCAACCTTTTGTTACACGTGCGTAAGTCGTTGGGTGTGTTGCTGATGAACCAGCCTGCCCTGCTCTTGTTCCCACCAGCTGACGACGTCCATGAATTCACCGGATTCAGTGATCTCCTGCTTATAATATAGAGCCCCAGAAAAGGTTTCCGGGCTCGCCGCATAAACAGTGGCTGCACCCTCTTCACTGTCCCCGGCGCCACTATATGGCGAGAGGATCTGAGGTTCCAGGTTCTCCTCGTTTTGCCCGTAATACTCCGACGGTGGTGATGCCACCGAGTTCGGGGACAGTCGTGAAAAATTCTGCGGGTTCGATACGGTTCTCGGTTCGAGATTCTCTTCGTCGCCCACCGAGGACGCGTAATAATCGTGTGGCGATGCGACGGTAGTTCGATTCGGCGACAATCTGCAATATCGTTGAAACATTCAAGCTCTTCGTTTCTCCCTCCTTTGATCATTTCGTTACTCAACGAAAAGGAAAGATGAAAGAAAAAATTACCTAGACGTAGTTTTCTGCTTCCCATTATCATCGTCCTCCTCCAGTTGTTCGCCGTCCTCCTCTTCAGCGCCGAGAACGTCGTCCTCGAGGATAAGTCGCTCCCCGGATCCGTTGTGACTCGACGAAACGACACTGCTGGTAGGTGAGGGCATACATTGCCCGGCACCGGCGTTGGCGTCGTATTCGATCCCGTCAGCTTCGGCCAGCAGCCTCTGAAGACCTCTGATGTACTCCACAGCCATTCGCAGGGTTTCCACTTTCGACAGTTTCTTGCCTCTGTCACCGTAGCCAGCTGCGATGTGGCTCGGGATGTGTTGTCTCAAAGTCGCGAACCCATTGTTCACCTGCTTGACGCGATTACGCTCGCGGGCATTCCTTCGGGCAACGGCGACTGGCGGCGGCTGACCGTTCTTCCCGTGTTTCTTCAGTCTGGATGGATCGTAGGGCGGTAAAACGATCGACGGGTTCGTATTACCGTTGTTGTTGTTGTTCTTTGCGACTATCAGATGAGGCTGATTGCCGATTATGTTGCTCTCGTTGTCCTGCAACGTCCGCAGCAGCATCAGCTGCTCCTGATCGTTGCCGTTGATCTGCACCCTGTTGCAGAAGACGGTGACACCCATGGTCGTCATCTTGATCGTTTTGGGCTAGAATGTGTCATTCAACGAAACGGCTGAGACGTTTGTTGTAGAGGTGAAATGTTTAACGCACGATATGAAACGGACGATCTATCGTGGCGAACATAAAGATAATTTGTGTCGTGAGAATAGCAAAGACGACTCGTTGTTTATCGACTCTAATGCGTTTCGAGGACAAATCTAATTGATGGACTTATAAATAAAACGCGGTCTCCCCTCGAAGACAAGGATGATTATCGACATAGATGATCAGACGAGTATTGGTTTTGATGTTTAGATCTGGGTCGGAATATCTTGCGAAGATTTATGAAGATCACCAAATTGTCTGTGGTATCTTCTGTAATATCACTTGGATTTTGGACTTATTTAATAGAACGATTATGTACAGATTTGTAACGAAGTTTGTACCTTGATTTTAACATTGAAGGGTCACTTTTATAATAAAGTTATTAAATACATTAGGGATTCTTACAATTTAACAGGTACAACAGCTCGTGCTTAAAGAAATTTTTAATTCATATAACAAGAACTTTTTGATTGTTACGATCTCAGAAACTTTCGATAGACCATGGGCCTTTTTCTCTACCAAATAATGAAGCTGATGACCCGAACCAAGATCCAATTGTCTCGTTGTCGGTCACAACGGCTTAAGTAAAGCGTGAGGTCACCGTCTATTCTTCTCCGCGACGGTCGTCGACTCCTTGGAAATTATTCTTCGGAATATCTTCAAACAGTTACTTCTTAACAGTATTAAATCAATAAAAATTCAAGCGTCAACATTCGGTTCCTCTTCGTTCGTTTGCGAAACGTTTCAACGTGTTATTTCAATTAGAATCGATATCTCCGAATCGTATTATCACAATATTTTATAAGGAATCGTGTAGCACCAGTTGAATGCTTCTATGTACAAGGAAAGCACTTGAACGACTTCGAACAGCGAAGTCTAAACGACCTTAACGAACTATAACGATATAAACAACCATCGTTCACGTTTTAACACTTGTTACGAATCGATTCATCTATTTCGATTGTATAAGGCACTCGCGAGCAACTTTCGTCGCTCGACTAAGGTCACTCGTTCTTCAAAATATAAGGCACTGATCGTGTAAAAGAGTTTAATGTTTCTCCAAATTATGATCCGAAGCGACTGTTACAAGTTGGTCAGTCTTGAATCACGTAACTTCATCCAAACTCTCAACACCCAACATTTGCTACCGACCTGAATGGCATCGTCCGTATAGCCACCGATTCGCGCTCTGCATGGCGTTCGGTTTCCAGAACTCGCATCGAAACGCTTCCGTTCGGTATTTCACCACGCCACGAAGTGACACAGAACGCTCGGCGAGCGAAAAAGGGGTAGAGAGCAGACGGTGGGGGCTTTAAGCACGCGCCGTAGTGGATGCTTGCCCCGGGCAAACAAAGGGAGCAACTGAATAGTCTCAGACTCCAATTACATCACCGGGATCTATGGTGTAATTTTCTAACGATAAGATCTGGAAGCTTCACTTTACTCCCTCTCGGCACAGAATTTTCACGTTCGAACACACTTCACGATCCAACCGAGTGAACAGCCGAATTCCTTCGAGCTATCGGGGTTGGTTTGACACCGATGGTCGCTCGGTATCCGTCATCGGTCACTTTTTAACTCAGCTCCCGTTCCTGATCAGACCTCTGTGCTACGCACCGCATGGCGTCTGCGTTCAGAATGAGCGCGGACATCCGATAGATGGGTTAGGTTTCAACATTTTGCCGCACCGTAGAGCGAGACCGAGGGCTGGTTCGTCTGCTGCAACGGCGAAAGAGGAAACGGGATGGAAGAACAGAGGGGGGAAACGCGTGTTGTGCGAAGAGGAAGAAATGGTGGGGATTTTGAGCACGCGCCGCAGCCCCCTCGTTTCTGCTCCCCCGGAATTGAAAAGGGGGACCGTGCGCACCATATGCCGGGGGAGCGCGTGTGCCAGTTGCGTGTTCCCTGAACACGTATACGTCTATGCTTTTATGCGGCTGCGTGTACGCGAACGCACGATCTACCAGAACCTATTGCCGAGCGATGAGAACGCGACCGAGTTGTACATTCATGCTCGTTGATCCTTGACTACCGGACCCTGTTATTTCAAGAGCTGCGCGATAGTGAATCCCAGCGTAATAGAAATGTTCCGGAAATTTGCGAGGGTGGTTTGATGGATCATCGGGAAAGATTCAGTGTCGTATGCACGCGCTCTTCAACTATTGGTAATGGGCGTAGTGCAAACATAGGCTACCTTCAGTAGATTGCCATTAAATACGGTGATATAAAATGTAAACAAAAGTTATATTTTCTGTAATTTAGGGGACGGAGTTGACTAACTTTTGTACATTGGAAATTTTTTGAGAAAATAACTTGATAGGTTACTTAGGTATACATAATTCTTGTAACCACTTTAATTGAATGTTGTAGTTTTTGTCACATTTAGATCAGCGAAACTGATATGTCAAGAAAATATTATAATATTAAATATTTGCAGAATACAGTTACCGAGAATTAATTAACTAGCTCTGGGTTATGTATGTAAAATAAAAGTTGTTATTACTGTAACAAATATCTATCTGCTTTACTCAATGTTTTTTCTCCTGAAACCTAGTGTTATGCTATTATCGTTAGGGTGACATCCTTAACATGACTCCACATCAAATCGTATATATTTCTACCCTAATTCAGATCATTTTCTCCACGTTTATACGTCGATATCCTAACATAAACCATTTCCACAAAATTGTATGACAAACAGTTAAAAAAATAATTTTTACACTTTCGTAGCAATACATTGAAAACAAAGGATGTCCTTTAATGTTTAGTCTTCAGACATCTAAATAAGTGAACGGAAGTTTAAATGTTTAGTATATCTTTGCAGATAAAGTTGACCTTACGTGTAATATATTCCAAAGCAGTGCTTGTAACATAGATAGTAGACTAAATTGGAATATCTCGGTTTTGTTCACATGCGTATCTTTAAAATTTTCGTTATTTATTCGCATTTTGTATTTAAATACAAACAAATAAAAATTTCTTTTTCTACTATTTTTGCTTCTCGTATACCGTATAACTGTCACCTTAACCAGATTAAAAAGCACATAATTCATTCAATAAGCAGCCATCATAAAAGTACCTGGTTTAATCGTATTGGAAGTTTCACCGTACGCATAATCTGATTTTTCTGTCAATCGCAGATTATGTAAATCCTGAGAGTGGATGTTTAAACGGAAGAAATGCGATTTGCGATCTCTATTTTTGTGTCACAGAAGCGATTGTATACATACTTACTCGAGTTTACATTTCGCGTTTCCCTCGCCAAAAAGATTTCAAATAGAAAGGATTATTTCGTTGATCCGATTTCGTGCATCCCTTTGTGTAACGATGACGGTTGCGTAGAACGGAACGGAAAACAAATTTTCCAGCGCATCTGCCAGTACTTGAAAATCAAATCGAACGGGCAGTAAATTGTGGTGAATGTTTACATTCGGTTCCAGGAAATTATTGTAGAGAAAAAGTTCTGATGTGAAAACAAAGAAAATAATTTTTTAACAAAACCTTAGGGTGAGAAAGTAATATAAAGTAACGTAATGTATTATTTTGGTAAAAATTCACGATAATTATATTTTCAATTTGCATAAAATAGTACAAACATTGCATGCAATTTTCAATAGTATCTAAATACTGTTCACATTAATGCTATTTACATTAAATCATCATTGAACATAATTCATTATTCAACGAAACGAATAAAGGTTTCAAAAGTAAATTGTAAAATAAACAAACTTGTTTTATATTCTTAAATTTTCGAAAATCTAACAGTGCATCTGTAAGTGTCATTCAAAGTAATTTTTCTTGATAATAAAATTCTGTGCAGCAACTTTTTTATTATATTTTCATGTAGTTACCCTTAAAGTGCCACCACTTTTGGAAGGTCCTGTATTGCGTTCATTTCTGTCTCACATCGATCGAAACACGATGTTAAAACGAACGAAACATGATTGTTAACGAAATTGAAAGTGCAACGAATTCATTAAATCTCTTTTTTGTGTTCTGTGTTTCATAGTGCAGAACAGGAAGTGTGACATTCTGTTCGCCACGGAAGTTTCGTGTTTCGGGGCGGTGCACTCGCAAAGGCCGGTACTTTGCCACGCTTAAAATAGCATTTATACTTAGTATAAATGTTTAACCATATTTAGAAATTTTTATGTATTCTTTACGCAAGATACTTGAGACTGCTTTCAATTTTAAGTAGTACAACTTAATCTCTTACATTGAAGACTGGTATTACGTTCGTTGAGGGGTGAAATGGACAAGTACTAAGATCAAATGGTAAATTTTAAAATGTAGAAAGTTTAATTATGATTTGATATAATGATCGCAATTTTTCCTTTAAAACATATTAGTTTGAAGCTTAAAATTTAAAGGAAATGGTTACAATATGTGATTACCTCATCAATGTTCTTAATGCGAAACAAGATGGCTGCTACGTTGAAATAATGCATCAGCTAATTTATAATTTAGTGTTGATTATCAGCAAATATTCAAGTTATACTTAATTATATTTAATTATTTATTTATGTTTGAAAATATATATAAAAACAATCTTTTGATTCGTTCTTTTATGAAAAATCAACAATTTTTGGTACGCAAACCTTTCGTTAATATCTTTTATACAAAGATAGTCTTCTTTTTGAAACAAAGAACGTATGAGTTCTTCTATTTACAAAGTATAACTTATACTTGTTGTTCTTTTATATATAGGATGATTCAAAAGTAGCTTTGCCTGTAAACAGACTCTACAAAATAACAAACCAAAGTAATAATCGCTGTAGTTAAAGTTAACGTAAGTATATTTACTTAGTTAGTTCATTTTTCTGTTCTAAAAAAGAATCAGTCATTTCATATTAAAAATATTAATGAACTCTTCCAACAGCAGTTTTTCTTAAAAATTAAATTCTTAGAAAATGACATGTCATAATAATTGTTTTGAAGTAATTTCAAAGCACAAAATTATATCACATTTTCCATATTTAAAAATCTACCCTCTAAATAAAAAACCTAAATCTACCCTTTAAATTAAGAACCTAATAATTCTTGCAACATCTTATAAATAAATAATCGTAATAAATCGCAGCATAACAGTCACTACTAGTAAGTTATAATTTAAAAAAAAAGAAGAGGAGCGTCAAATAAATTTTCTCACAATTCATCGAAGGGTTCGTAACTGTACGACAGGAACGAAAGGTTCATTGGGATTTGTCCTAGATCCAGTTTATATTCTGTATACCTAAGGCTGAAAGCGTAACCCAACCCTGTATAATAGAGGGGGAAATGGGGCACGATTCAATTTATAGTGTGAAATATACGGACGACGTGCAATCTCTTACAGTTCTCTCATTATAATAATTTGTGACTGGGTTTGACAACAAAATTTATGCGAATAGTTTATGCGTTTGAAAATGAATTTTTCTTAGATAGTAACGGATGAAATAATTGGACAGTTTGATTGAATTAGAAGTAGTAAGTTTTTGTAGATAAAGTATGATGCTACTGTATGTATCTGGTAAGTTGGTACACAAATCTGGATGTGCCGATTGCCAATAGACAGTGGTATCAAACAATGGTACAAACTACCATAACTACCTAGTACATAAACGTGTAAAGTTAGAAACGTAATAATATCGTTTATAGTAAACGAGTAAATGTTCGAAAATCAAACATATTTGTAGTGGAACCTTAATTACTCTGAATCAATATTTTCAATAGAAACTATTATACTGTACTTTGATGCATTTTGATCAATGAAATATGTACTGTAACATAGAAACAGAAATAAATTCTGAAAGCGACTATATGTATCTAAAAATACGTACACACTATATACATACATGTATACACGTGTATATATGTTAAGCCATACATGTATTAATCCCTTTCCGTACAATGTATTTGCCAGATGCAACAGTCGAAACAAACTATTCATGGATATAATGTTTAAACAAACAATAAAAATTAAAATGTGAATATTTTACATTCAGCGATCTTTGATAATGCAAATTATAGTTGGACCTAAATTTTAAGTTGAAGAGCATTACAAATTTTAGTAAGGTTTGTTATATTTGAACTGTGAGTGTATCACTGTGACTCATCAAAGTATGACAAGGGGTTAATATCAAACATAAAAATAATAGCAATAAAAATTGTAATATAGATCATTTTAATATGAGATAGTAGTAATATTTGCAATTTTAAAGTAACTAGTATAATATGCATCTCTGAACACACTATCGATTAAATTATACAGTAAAAAATGTACACACATAGATTTTATTGACATCCCACATATTAGTGCAATTTGATCATTTAATCCAAAGACACCCTGTATACAAGGTATTCAGGTATGGACCAGATTTCCTCGCACACAATAATTTCAAAAAAATGGAAGAGTAAAGACTTGTCCTACATATTATTAGCAATATGAGGCCTATATCAACTCTTTATATTTGCATCACTTTTTGAGAAATGCAGACGTCCTCAGTTTTTTTTATATTGTTCATGTGCATGACTATGAGAGTCAATGCCATGCAAGTTAGAAATCAAAGACATTCTTTGTTTCCATAATATTATGTTTAATCGTACGAAAATATTAAAAT